GCCTCTGCCCACTAACATAACAGGACCCGCAATGCTCACGCGTATCCTCAGCCGCTACTCATCACTGCAGGGCATGTGCATCTCTGTTGTGTTTCTGGAGATTCTGTTATTTGAGCTATATCAGCTCTTTTTTAGAAATAGCAACAATCATTACCAAAACACATGGGAATCTTGTCCGTAGACCTCCTGCTAGTAACTACAGTGTGTTTTAGTCTGTGGGTTTTGGGGTTACAACCTGCAACAAATGAATTTATAAGGATAACTTGAATGGCCTGACTTAGAATGTGTCTGATTTCCCTTTTCTGAGGTTCCTCTGTCCCTCGAACTCTCTGATTTTCAACTGGGAATGAAAGTAGAGGCAGTGAACAAGAAGAAACCACTGCTGATGTGTGTCGCAACCATCATGGACAAGGTGGATAACCGCCTGCTAATTCATTTGGATAACTGGGATGAGACTTACAACTACTGGTAAGGCGATTCTATTTCCAATATCTGTCTGCAAGTAGGCTGTGGGTTATTTCACTCTCCCACTAAGGCTAATATCTAATATTTTAAATGTAGTAGCTTCAGTCGGGATCTTAATCAGTTTTCAAGCATCTGAGTAATTACGTGGGGTTTTTGCAAAGTGCTGGTTTCCCAGTAGCTTCCCAAGTGCTTGTCACTTGGCCCAGTGCACAACCAGTGGAGTTAGCTGGAGCTGCCTGTGCAGCCTTTGAGGGTTTGAGATAACACAGCTGGCTGGCTTGGGTCAGGTCAGGGAATGTTCATGTTATCCATTGCTCTGGCAGAGCTCAAGGAAGAGGAAGCTCTGCTAGTGACACCAGCTGGAATTAGGAACATCCTCTTCTCCAGGACTAGGAGTGGGTGTTGGCATGTCTCTCTGCAAATTTAAATTTGGAAGCAGACAGTACTGAAGTCAGTAAAAATTGTTTCCATTTGCTGCAGTGGCGTTTGGCTAAGACCCTTTGAAAATAAAAATGATTGCCAACATTTAGGCTTTTAAGTCCTGACCTGAACTACGGTTGTTCTGCATCTGAGAATCTTGATCCCCTGCCCTTATGCTGGGGCCAGCTGGAATATTAGTCAAGGAAACGTTTTCCCTCCTTGGTCCGTGTTTTCCAACCTACATGAGCGGAGTAACTTTATTTGAATTTGTCTGTGAAAGCGACACAAGGCCCATGCTTGTCCAAACAGCGCTGATTCTGTCAGTATTCTGTGTTCTCTCCCTTGTCTCCTCTTGTTTAGTTTTTTCAGAATAGGCCCCTGTTTGGTGGCAGGTTGGTCTTGTCTTTCTTTGCCATAAATACGTTGCGCAGAGCTTTGTAACACCACTGGTTCCATTTGCAGGGCTTCAGATCTCGTTCCTTTACCATTTTAGCCTGTGAAGTTTTTTTTTCTTGCCATGGTTTGTTTGGAATTTGAAAATTTTCATGGGGAACACAAGCAAACAAAGCTTCAAAGTAGAGCTTGGCTGAAAACACACAGGTTTTTCCCTAGACCTGAAAAACTGCTTTGGTCCCTTTGTCGGAGCAGATGTGACAAAAGGGGCTGTCTCACGTTGGCCTGTTGCCTCCTTCTGGGACTCAGAAGGTCTAAACAATAAAATTGGGAACCAGGCACTCTAGGCACTAGGTTTCAGCTTAGAATAAATGGATAGCATGCAGTTCTTGGCAAAGACCTTAAAAGTAATTTTCCCTTCTTCCACAATAATGGTGTTTCAGTTAGGGACGAGGGTTTGGTTTTTGCTTCTTCGCTTCCTTTGTGTTGAAGTTCAGCTTGGATTATCTCTGTCCAGGCTCAACTGTGGTTGGTATGGTTGGGGGGTGGGGGGAGGGTTGTTTTTTTTTTCTTAAAGCACCAGACTTTGTGCTTTGTATTCCCTTGTCTTCTGGGGCAGCTTGAACGCCTGGAAAACTTGGTGTTATAAATTCTAACGAGGTAATGCTTGTCTTTTACACCATGATCACACCCACTGAAAGCATCTGCTAACCCAGCAAAGGCATATCAGACAGCATTGGAAATTTTGCTTTTCTTTTTGCTTTAAAATTGACTGGTGCCAACTTTCCCTCTTTGACTCAGGTGTGAAGCCAGCAGCCTGTATATCCGTCCTGTTGGATACTGCCAAGAAACTGGAACCCCACTGACACCACCACCTGGTATGTTGAAAGTGAGACTTATTTCCTGCCTCAGTCACAAAACCTGCAAGCTTCATCTTCCACATAATAACGTATCTGCAAGTTACAGGTTCCATTCAGTACTCTTCTCTCTACTGACCGAACAATGTGATCGTTCATACTTTTTGCCACTGCATTTTATTTCATTTCATAGCTCTTTCAAAAAACAGGGCAGGGTTTGGTAATTGAATTTGATTTCAGTAAGGGAAAGAACTTTCAAGTATTTGCAGCATTTCCTTTAAGGTGAGCTGGAGGAAAGAGGAATCACTATCATGATTTCATAGATGATAAGATGGAATTTCTGAAAATGAAGGAGTAGCTGAAGCCACATCTCTTTCTGCTGCACTGGGATTCTGTACGTGAATAGAATGTTGGCAAATGGAAAAGGACAGAACCTACAGGAAAATCAATGTTGTTTTCAGGCCTTGGAAGTGCTCATTCACCTTTAAAATAACAAATTTTAAAAATTATATCTGCTGTTTTCTGGATTGGCAGCCCTGGAGCAAGAATTTCTGCAATGACTGTGTATTAAGTTTAGTAGAGTGGGTGGCACTACAAGATCCCTCTGCATTGGAGGAATTAACCTCTGCGCCTTTGCTGCAGATGCAAAAGGACTTGTAAACACTTACCCTTCAGCAACATCACATCTGTTCCTGCTCCTGGAACGTGCAACAAGGCTGTGGTGTGCAGCGCCACTGCTGCTGTCACCATGGCCTCTGCCGCTGTCAGAATCTGCAGTCAGTTCTGATTTCTCTGCTGGCTGCTGGGAGATTTATCAGACAACCGTAGAATGGTTTGGGTTGGAAGGGACTATTAAAGGTCATCTAGTCCAACCACACTGCAGTGAGCAGGGACATCTGCAACTCCAACAGGTTGCTCAGTTTCCTGTCCAACCTGACCTTGAATGTTTTCAGGAATAGGGCATCTACAGCCTCTCTGAGAAACCTTTGTTGGCCCAGAAGGCCAACCGTATCCTAGGCTGGATCCAGAGCAGCGTGGCCAGCAGGGCAAGGGAGGGGATTCTCTCCCTCTACTCCACTCTGGGGAGATCCCCCGCCTCCTGCAGTTCTGCCTCCAGCTCTGGGGACCCCAACATCAGGAGGACACGGAGCTGTTGGAGCGAGTCCAGAGGAGACCACAAAGATGCTTCTGTTCCAACCCAAACCATTCTATGGTTCCATGATTTTATCTCCAGACTGCTAGTTTTACTCAGCTCTGGCACTCACACATGGAATAGTTAATAAAATAGGAAAAGAATTTACTGATGCCATTGCACATCACAGAATCCTCTGAGTAGTGCTTAATTGGCAGCTTTCTCTAGAGAATGAGAATTGATTAAGCTGTACAGAAAAGAATTGTTCAGGTTTTTCAGCTCAGGGTTAAAGCCCTGTGTAGAAGCTGAGGAAACTTGCAGTGCTGCTGTGTGTGCTGTAAGTGGTGTGTGTGAACAACCAGACCACTTTCCAGCACCATCCATTCTAAGTGCTAAATTAGCATAATAGCCTTGTGTGCAACAATAAATGTGAGTTTTTCTTACTTAAATGTTAATTCTTTGGATTATTTTTCAGGTTACAAGAATTCCAATGCCTTCTCATGGGAGAAATACTTGGACGAAACTCATTCCCAGGCTGCCCCAGCAACAGCATTCAAACCGGTTGGTGAATTCCTCTGATTGTCCTAGATCAGACGTTAGATGTTGTTAGATGCTTTGTTTGATGGTGGTTCCTGGTCTGTGCCAAGAGGCTGAAACTGGGATTTTTACATGGAGTTTATGATCATCTCTGACCGCTGCTAAAACAAAACACACAGCACATGACAAGACTGTATTTTTTAAATGCCATGAAAAGCTGTCTTGGAAAGGATTTTTGACTACACATCTTTAGTTGCTCCATTAGCAGATTTAAGAGAAGAGCCTTCAGTCCACACAGATAATGGTAGCTGTCAGAGGAGTGTGTGAGGGGTGGTACCTTGCCTCAGAGAAGGCAGAGAGGAGAAAGAGCTGCTCGTCTGCCTGAGGTCAGACTATGCGGGCAGAGGGGATCTCCCAGTTGATATCTGAGCAGGATGATGCTGGTTGAACTGACTTTCCAGACTCTCTCCTCGTGGGCGTCAGAAGTTGATATCACTGGCCTGTAACAGGGACATTTTGAAGGGAAGGGAGGAAGGGGTGGCGTGTGTTGGAGAGTTCCTTCTTCAGGTGTCTTCTTCCCCTCGAGTCGTAAACACTTCTTTAAAATATTTTCACCTTGCAGTTGTGCAAATCCTTATTCCCCTGGTTGGTGAGGCCGGAGTTAAGGTAGAGTGAGAAGTTCCTGTCAAGTACTTACATGTTCTAGTATAGCTCTCAGTTCTAGGGGGGAGCCAGCTGTGCCCTCCCCAGAAACAAGCACATACAGGTGATAGAGCATCTCTGCTGAACTCCTAGATGGACTAAGGTCATCCTGCAGACTGAACTATAGAATCTCAGACTGGTTTGGGTTGGAAGGGACCTTAAAGATCATCCAGTTCCAACCCCCTGCCATGGGCAGGGACACCTTCCACTAGACCAGGTTGCTCCAAGCCTCATCCAGACTGGCCTTGAAGACATCCAGGGATGGGGCATCCACAGCTTCTCTGGGCAACCTGTCCCAGCGTCTCCCCACCCTCTCCAGGAAGAACTTCTTCCTGATGTCCCATCTAAACCTGCCCTCTTTCAGTTTAAAATCTGAAGATGGTTCTCTTAACCTTGGGAGCATGAACTTTTGTTTCTTACATTGGAGTTCAGGGCGTTTATCTGGAAGCTCACTGTGAGCAGAAACAAAACAAAAGCCTTTAAAATAACTTCATTTAAAAAAATCCATACTTTAAAGTGCATTTTTCTTTTTTCCTTAGCTTCTTCCACACTGGTGGCTTACCTTTCCAAACTTTGCAGTACATTTAAAACCTTTCCTGTGCCATAGTGACACTTGTCCTGATTCCTTTCAATGCAGCAGGTTAATACCTGCTGCCCTCCCCTATATTTTGTTGGTAAGCTCTTCGGGACTGAGGAGGAAAAGCAATCAGGGAGGGCCCCGATAAGGGAGGTGAAAATCCAGCTGGGCAGGTTTGATAATTGCGAGATTTCAGCAAGTGGCCATTTAAGTTGTAGGTTGCAAAGTGGGTGTCAGGGAATGGGAAAAGTTTTGCCTCTTTAAAGAACTCTAAGGCCATAGCTGGAGTTATCTACAGCACGGTTGAACTCCCAAACACCCCTTGGATTAAGGTTTTCCAGGGTTGGGCAGACTTCGATTGTGCAGCGCAGCACCTCAGAGCCGGTGTGCAGGAGAAGCAAGTGAACCCCGTCAGCAGGACACATCCCTTGTCCCTGGTGTAGGCTCAGCCTTTTCCTGAGCTGTGCTTCTAAAACCCCGGCAGTGCTGGAAGACAGGAACCTTCAGAATACAGGAGCGAAATAATGCAGCAATTGGGCTTCAGCACAACAGAGGAACAGTAGAATTAGTTTTGTAGGGACAAATATTACGGAAAGATAATAAACTGCTTCACAGTACAAAAAGTGGAGTGCCACCTACTTGAAACTCCCCCTTCTGAAGTCCTCAGTAATCTGTTGTTACGGCATTCTTTCCACAGATTTCCAGAATATAAAATGTGTTGAGAAATGTCACCCAGCGATAACAGGGACAGGGAGCCTTTTCAGCACTGAGCTCTCATTCCTCCAAAGTGAAGTGTCTTCCCAAGGGGGAATGCAACTGCCTTCTCTGCCTCTTTTTTCATGTACCTCTTATTGGTTTGTTCCTTCAGGTATCTGGCTGTGAGAGAATAGTAGCAGGGCCAATTCTGGCTCTCGTGAAAGTCCAGAATATAAATTAGCATCAGAGACTCTGTTTTGAAAATGAAACAGGAAAAAAAATGCATTTGATATATCAACAGTTAATAGAACTCTCTCAAGACCAGACCTCATTATTTTTCTGGCTTGGTTGGTCTGAAGTGCAAGTACATGGCACAGTTATTGATTTTTTTTTTTATTATTATTATTATGGCTAGCAATTACAGGAAATCAGTACATAAAAATATGGTTGTGAGACAGAACAGGCATTTCTCACTGAATTAGTTTGTAACAGTTTTCAAGAGCTATCTTAAGTAGTCTGGAGACACTGATCATCAGCACAAATAGCAGATCTTGTGTCTGGATTTCTGCCTTCTCCTCCACCCAGAAGCGCAGCAGGAGACGGCTTGTTGTCAGCATCACTATTTCAGCCCATTGTCTTGGGCTGTCAGTTCAAAAACATTCATAAGCTCTTGCCAAAAAGGCAGCAAGCCTTAAACAAATAGCCCTGCTATCTTCCGGGCAGGATCTTGTTCTCCTGCACTTCGGCTCCTTCCTCAAGGAAGACAGACAAGGTCGGCTGGTTCAATAAGATGCTCTTAAAACTAAAAGCAGTTTAGACTGTCTGGCTTCCGGTGTGTCATGTGGCTGAAAGCCTGTGGATAAATGTCTGTGTCCAGGTGAACAGACCAAAGAGGAACTTCAGGTTTGGAGTCTGTAATCCCCTTAGCTCAGACATGGACCTCCTTCCCTGCCCCCAGCTGCTGCCAGCGAAAGGGTAAGGAAGGTCGGGAGGAAGGAGTGATTGCAATCATCTTTTCATTAACCTGGTCTTCTTCAAAGACACAATTTCTCATCTCTTGCTAAAATCCTGACCTTTGTGTGCGGAAGTGAGGAACGACGTGTTTTGAATGAGTATCCAGTGCTCCAGAACCCCCAGCTGGGGAGGTCAGAGGAGGAATTTGCAGTCAGTCATTTCAAGATAAATGGAATAATGGGTAAACGCTGTGTGTTACTTAAGAGATTTATCTGTGGGTGCTCCAGAGGGCGTGCATCAGGTCAGAGGACATTCTGGAGTCATTTGGCTGCTGGGGTTTGAGAGAAAGGGCAAGTCCCACTGCAGAGGGGAGACTCCAGTGCCTGGAGCCGCTGTCGTGTGCCTGCACCGCAGTCCTCAGCAGTCGTCGTTAAGGAGCACACGCAGTTGTCGTACAAAGTAGATGGTAACCTGCTTAGTGAAGGTAAATAATGTCCAGATGCTGCTTCTGATGCCCAGAAGGATGTCGTGAAGCTTAGTGAAGAGACATGTCACATGGGGGTGTGGTTCAGGTGTGAGACAGTGGTGCACTGGCCACTGTCCGTGACAGATGCAAGATAACCTGTGCTGTGTTTGGGGATTTTGCTGTCAAACTGCGGAGTCCATGTGTCGGTGGTAGTATCTGGCCTTTTTTCTGGTAGGGAAGTACCTCTTGCCCTGGCTGTGAAATGCTCCTCTGCACTGAGAAAGCTCAGACTTCCTCTCGAGTAGTTTTGAGCGTCTGACAAACAGACAGCTTAATCCTGTAGGAAACTCTGGTTTTAACCTCTGAAGCAGTCTACTGTGTGGGATCAGGGGCCAAAGCTGCAAAGGCATTTGAATGATAGATGAAAAGTTCAGCACACTTTAGTCAGAGCAAGTGAGTAGCTCTGAACGCTCACCCTTTTTAGCATTCTGCTTACAATCTTCTCTTACAGCCTCCTGCTCACGAATTCCAAGTTAACACGAAGTTAGAGGTTGTGGACAGAAGAAATCCCATCTTGATAAGAGTGGCAACAATAGTTGACAAAGACAACCAACGCATTAAGGTATGACCTTGTTTCAGAGTCCAGAGCCCTTGTGCTGAGGGATGTAGTGGTTGGCAGTACAGCAAAACTACCCGCTTGGTGTGAGGAGCAGCAAGCAAACGCCGTGCAGATGGCCCAGTCTACAGGCCTGCCCACCTGGAAATGATTGCAGTCATTCTCTCCTGTTGAAATCTGATGGAATTGCCTGGCGTTGTTCGTTACTGTTTTAATGTAACTATTTTGACATAACATTTGACAGTATGGTTTTCCATCAGCCGGTTCTGTGTGATTGGTGCCGGTGAAGCCAGCATTAATGTGCTGCTGGTGGGAAGCTGCCGGACAGTTTTTTTTCTCCTAGTATATTTAAAGGAAAACCCAAAGCAAATTAAACCCTGGCTCATGTAGGAAGCGGCTTGATTCTCCCGTATGAATTTGTTACATAAATGCCTTTTAACTAATTATTTTCACCTTAACATATTGTCAGGAAAATCTGGTGTGCTTCAGCTTTTGAGAGATCAAGTATCAGCCAGTTAAAGTGGAGGCTGCACTGGTGGAGGCTCCTCAGCCACAGGTCTCCTTCCCAAAGGATGATTATGTGGGCAGGAGTACAGTTCGCTCTCCATCAGCCATTTGATTCCCAGTTTCATCACTGTGCTTGCAAGCAAAACTCGAGTTCTGCCAACATACAGTAGCACAATACTCAGTTTGTACATGTTTGAAACTTTGCCACGTAGGCAACCCAGTAGCCTTTAAGCTGCAGTGATCTTTAGTCTCTGTTAACCTGACCCAGATCTGAGCTACCTACCCTCATCCAGCAGAAGATTCTAGCTTGTTCACTGCAAAACTCACCAAACCTGTTGGCTTTTGTGGTGTTTGGGATCCTCAGGAAACAAAACAATTGAAGAAGCAATTCTGTTTGCATAGCTTTAGTTTTTGAGTGCAGAGTGTGCTGGAGCACCCTGCTGTCTGTGATTTCCTGCACACCCTGGGGTTTGCCTGTGCCACCAGAACCTGGTGGTTTGTTAAAACACAGATGGAGGGCTCAGGAAAACAAACAGTTAACTGAGCACAAGGGGTGATTATGCTGGACTGAGAGATTGAATGAATCAGCTCCGAGCTGAGCAAGGTGAAGTTAAAATAAAAGCTGAGTCATGTCCTCAACTCTATCTCTCACTGAGACTGTGTGCTTCTTTTAGATACGTTTTGATGGCTGGGACAGCAATTACGATTTGTGGGTCTGGGCAGACTGCCCTGATATTCATCCAGTCGGCTGGTGTGAGAAAACTGGACATCCTTTGCAAGTCCCTCCTGGTAAAGTAGATGGCATCATGTCGTAACGTTGAATTACTTTCCTAATTGCAGCCTGCTCTTGAGTGTTTTACATCCCTGTTTAACTTTTTTGTTCTTATTACCAGGTACTGTTGATTTAGTGGGAAAAATGGGACAAGGGTGTCCTACTCCAGGCTGCCACGGGATCGGACATGTCAAGGGATCACGATACGGAACGCATCATACGTATGTACATGATTCTTCTTGGAAGGGTTCTGCCCGTGAGGGTCCGAGTGCTGTCCGTAGTAATAATGCAGGACAAGCACCCGCACTGCACTGGCATGATCTCAGGGTGTTTATTCTGGAGATAGTTTATAACTGCAATTGCAGCTCCCTCTTGTGTCTAAATGTGTTGCGTCATAAATTATTCTTATTCCGGGATAATCATTATAACTGCAGCGCAAGCCAACGTAGATTAATTCACTCCAATTTCTACACCCCAGCATTGCTGGAGGATGATTTTTTTTTGTAAAACAATATACCTGAGAACAGCAGGCAGGGAGACAGTTAAAGAGAGAGAGAGTGTGGCTAGATTATTCAGGTGCGGGAGTGAGATCTAGCTCACGTTTTGTGCTCTGCCTTTTGATTTCTTATGTGCTCTTGGAAAAGGAAGGCTTTTCTCGATTAAATTGTTTTAAAGAGAAAGAAAACTATCTCAGATGGAAGGCCTGAAGATCCAGTAGTACATAATGTGGTAAAGCTCTTTGAATATTTTAGAGCGAAAGTTGCAGGATTATCTTGTTTCATGAAATAGTGCTCAGACAAGCAGGTTACAGAGGAAGAGCTCTTCATGTTCTCTAAGATGTCTCCTTCAAAACATGACTGGTTTCTAATTCTGCCAGGTAGTCCCCTGCTTTCCCACACCTAATACTGGGTAAAAACATCCCCCTGAGTGGTTTTGGCCTCGCTTTCTCTGAGTTTGTCTGCCTGAGGCTGCTCAGACTGTATGGCTTAAAAATATGCATCTCTCTTTTTTTGTCTTTTTTTTCTTTAACACAGGTTAATTGGCTGCCCATATTCTGAAATGAACCTCAAGAAAGAGAACATATTACACGACCGCCTGGCCGGGGAGAAATACTGCTTTAGCAGCAGCATGCAGAAACCCAAGAGGCTGGAGACTCCTCCCGCATTTCTGTTGGGAGGAGGAGAGTCTTCTGAGGGCTGTCCACAATCCAGGTGAGCTGAACCCTTGTCTTGGGCAGGTATGGTGGAGCAAAATCATTTTTCAAGGTTGAAATCCACAGGAATTGGCAGAGAAGCAGCAAAGCATTGAGTTCATCTGTCTGTGATACTGACCCATGCCCCAGACACTCTTAACACAGAGCAGTGCACTTTTATACCCTTATATGCCTTAATAGGTTTCTTGATTCCTTAATCCTGCTGCTCTGGTCACATTCCAACAAAGGAAATTGCATTCTGTCTCCATAAATTTTTCCTTGCTGTTTCAATTTAAAATACATCCTTTTTCTTCGTTTTCTGCCCTAAAACTGTTAGGCCAGGTTATTTTGCACTCCTAAACTCTAACTGCAGCCTACCCCAGCGTCGGCTGCATTGCACTGGTAGGCATAATGATGCCGTGTATCGCTTGGGAAACAGGTTGAGTGCCTGCAGAGGTATTATTTTCTTACATGAAAATCTTGGAACTGAGTAGCACTGAAACAAACTGTGTATTAGTTCTTCAACTGCAGGAGGCAGTTAAAATGTGTCATGGGACAGACCTGGACGTGAAGGCTTTTATTATGGTCACCTTTACTCCGCACAAATCCAGTCTGACCAGAGCAAGCTCCAGCAATACTTCTGGTCTTTGCTGTAGATGAAGGCTTATTATATTAAAGTTAATCTGTTTTGCATAGATTTACAACATTTTCAAGATAAATTTGGCCAGAAAAAAGGAATGCTTCTCTCCCCTTTCTGGCATACATGGCCGAAATTGGCCTCTTCCATCCCAGAAATATGCCCAGGGTCTCCATTTGCTAATCTCAGCACGAGGATTGTTGCATTTCAATGACACTGTTACCATAAAGCGCTCTCAGGAGCTTTGGGATTCTCCCAGAACTGATGGCACTCTAAAATTGTAATATATTTCTATTCGTCTAAGTATTTCACTTCCTGATAGCGGGAGGTCTGAAATCAGCATCCAAATCTGACACACTACTGGTTGTTCTTCCTGGGACAGCTGCGTAGCTCACTCGGTTTATGCGTCAAACTCACTCACCGAGACTCCTAAATGTTATCCAGAGGTATCAGGATTCAAAAATCTTAAATCTCTTGATTTCACCATAGCACATGCTTCCGCGGGTTTCTTGTAGCTGCTGTGATCAGAGCCTCACTCCACAGGGACTGATTTATTTCACATAATCCCTCTCAATCCGCACTGAAGGGTAAAAAAAGCACTTTGTACTGTAATGACAGTGGAGAGAGGAAAGCTACTACCACTAGGTGGTAGTTGTTGCTCTCACTTGCAAGGAGCAGCCAGCTTTGCTCTCCTGCAGGAAAAGGGAACAGAGGGTGTCAGCTTAGCTTCTATCATTTATCTGTCTTTCCAGAAAATCTGCACAAAACAGTGAAAAGTTGTGTCAAAACAGTGTTCACGGTCTGTCAGAACAGTCTGAAAACAACCAGGAGAGGGACCAGGTGGAAGGGGATTCCTCTGCAGACATCAAAGCCAAACCAGAAAAATAAATGAGATTTTTGTGATGTGTTTTCATGCATTAACAGTTGTGTTTCTTGATGCTGCTGCTTTATCTGAAATACAAATGTAAATCGTAACTTAAAACAGCCCGATCTGGCCAGAGATTTGCAGCACAGGGTTTTAGAATGACGGTGTAAATCTCCCTTCCTCCTGTTATTTTGGGCCCTCTCTTTCCTGCAGTAAACTCAAATCTGAGTTCTAGCCATGAATTGAACAGCACAGTCCTTGGCTTAGAGAAAGAGGTCAGAGGCAGAGCAGTCTCTTAACAGGGGAAAGGTTATGGTTCCTACAAATCCCATTAATCTCTGTACAGAAAAGAAATTTTATCAATGTGTCCATCTTCTAAAACGTTTTGTAATTGATGTTTTCAGGCTTGGGGACTTACACACCTATGCAAAGTACCAGCAGGAGAAACAGCAGAGCAGTGGGAAAGGTAGGTTAAATTTTATTTCTTTTTCTGTGTGTGCATATGTGTGCAGTATCCCACAGTCACGAGGAGCATGGAAAACTTTGCATCTTCGTGTCTGGGATTCCGCAGTCAGGGGACAGCACATGCTGGAGGTGATGGTAATGGTAGTCCTTCTCCCTTTAAAATGAGGAGGAAGGGTAAAATTACTTACAAGTGAAAGGTTTAATACTTTGCAGAGTGAAGCCTCGTATTTATTAATCGAGAAAACAAGCCTGCACCCTCTCTTGTGCCACTGCACGCTCCCCAGAGTGCACAGGGGTTTGGTCCCCGAGAGGTCGATAACCGCTCGGCTGATGGAGCAGCAGCGGTGTCGAGGGAGACTGGCTCAAAACCTGGCAGATAGTTGAATTTCCATCAACTTCTGTCTTTAGAGCCCACTGGGTATTCAGAAACATAATTGGAATCATTTTTGGTGGTGACTTTTTTAAGGTTCTCCTAAGGATGAAAAAGAAAACGAAACATTAAGTGGAAAACCAATGCCTTTTTTAAAACTTCTTGTGCTGGTACGTGACAGGTTAAGTTTTAGAGAAGCTTTTTGGTATCACTTTAGCAAACCATATGTTTAACTTTCAGATTTACTATAAAAAGCCATTTCAGAGAACCGAGCTGACCAGGCTTTTAGGAGGATTTAACATGGTAATAAGTCTGCAATCAAAAATAGCTAAGCAGGCACAAACTGGGACAGGTGCCTAGCTGCTTTTTTTTTGGTTTTAATACTCATTTTTACCTAGTGCTGACTTCGGCAGTCAGGGCTGGAGAAGTCTGCCAGCTACGAGCTGCAGTTGCCGCTGGCAGGGAAAGCTGTCCGCTCTCCCTTCACGTTCACCTTCAGCAGAATGATGGAGGGAAACTGTAATAATCCACTGACCTGTAATTTCACCTTTACCCAGAGCTTTCACCCCATCTACGTTCAGACTGGTAGAACCCAGCTTCCTTCTGAAAGGGAAAGTCATTTGTTCAGATGGTGGTTTGGATGTTTACTCCCAGGATTTGGAGACGGTCTGTGACAGAAGCAGTGCCCACCCAGCAGGAAGGTGGCACTATGTACAACCTAAGACCTGCTGCGGCAGGGGGTGGGGGACTCCTGGGAGTAGGTGACAGCCTTCCAGGAGCTGTCTCCTGTGCCCTGGTGTCACCAGGAGCATCGGCTCCTGAACCAAGCAGTTCTTACTCAGGCTATTTTTTTTTAAATCCTCCCTCATCGGTCTCATGGAGACCTGTATGTGATGCTCCTTTAGGGAGGTGGAGACAGGGAAGGTGACACAGCTGGGTACAAGGGAGTGACGTTTTACTAGGTCAGGCTTTACCTCCAGCACCGCTTTCACTTCGTCTGAAAGTGAATATTTGCCTGCTCCAATTGGTTGGAGCAGGCAAATATGGAAATTCGCTATTTCTTTATAATCCTGCTTTCCTTTGTGCGTTACACGTAGCGACCCATGTATGCACCGTGCTCCGAACAGCCGTGTGTCCCCCCCAGCCAGCCGTACCTGCGCTGGGCATTCCCGAATCTTTCCGAAGGCAGGAATAAATGGGAATTTTGTATGGTTGCCACGGGATGGCGCCGGGCAGCCTGCACATCCTACACAGCCAGGCAGCACGGGTCGGGGACCGCACACGTTAACCAGAGGAACGATTCCCATCTTGTTTCCATCCTCTGCTTCGCTTCCTGTTGTATAAGCAGGCACGTCCCTGTAGGACCATGACTCTGCACTGCTCCAGTGATCTCATTAGGGAGGGGTGATTTCTTCCTTTATTTGCCTTGATTTTTAAAGCTTCTGTCACTGGACACATGAGGATGGAATGGGTGTCTGGAGGTAACGAGCAGCACCCCTGGCCTGGGATTCTACTGGGGAGGCCGTGCCATCGGCTGGCACAGAGTGCTCCTCCAGCCTGGCTACAGCTGTGAGCTGGAGCAGTGCCATTGCTTTCCAGCTGAAGATGCTGTTACCAGAACTCCTCCACCTTGTCAATAAAACGCTGCAAACATCTCTGTTAGCAGCATGACATCATTTTCCAGGGAAGAAGCTAATGATAAAGCCTCCAGCCTGGCAATGTTATCTTTTTTTCCTTTCTCCTTCTTGGGAGGGTGGGAAGAATGCCCTGAAAGCTCAGCGTGCCATGCGGTAGCCGTGCCTGGCTGTCCGCTCATCCTGCCTTGCTTTTCCCTCCAGATTGTGACCCTTCCTCCTGCTTTGTAGTAATTGCTCCTACTTGAAGCCTGGCTCTGACTTTTCCTTTTCCAGACCCTGTTGTGGATCTCCAGCAGGCCCTGCACCAGTCCTTCATGCCTTCCCTGATCTCTAACCCGACCCACCGCCTCCATCTCTTCTGGAAGAAATACTGCAAGCTCTTGCCAGAGATCTCGGGCCTCACAGCCAGACACGTGGCCAGCTGGACTGTGGAAGAGGTGAGTTCCCTGTTCTGCTCTCTTGGGGTGCGGGAGTGACACAGTCCCCCTCTTCTGGGAGTGTTAGTTGGAGGACATCCTTAGCTTTTTTTCCTTTCCTAGGCAATGCTTTTCTGTTGGCTTTGCATATGCTGTAGCTGACTCAGCTAGAAGTTATACCCAAGTCCCTTTATAAGGGAGCAGAAGGATCCCTGTTAACCCTCTGGTATCCATGGCTTATGTCCCTGAATAGGATTCCCTCCCTTTCTTTGTTTTTCTGCCCCTTGATCTTTTAGTTCTCAGGCCTGAGTTGTGATTCTGACAGCAGATTCTGTTTCTCTCTGATCTCCCTCCCCCTTTGCTGCTGATTCACTTTTACATGGCAGATAATTCCAAACTGCACTGTGCATGCCCACTCCTCCTGCGACTCCCTCCCTAATTCCCTTGGAACAGAACTGCCCACAGCTTGACCTGATTCCTGACAGAGGTAGCTGTGCTGCTGGGGATACGTCTGCAGTGCTGGCTCTTGACGTGTCTCCTGTAATTAGGTGGCATGTGAAAAAGTCGGTATCTTTTGTGTGCTGAGTAGTTGGTTTTTGCCTCGACGCCTTGGGCATAAATAATATTTGTATCTCCACTTGGGAAGCGATGACAGTTTGGATCCTGGTGCTTAATTGCAGGCCATTTAATTCAAGGAAATGTGCTGTAATGTTTTGCTTGCAAGGAAGGTAATCTGCAAAGCAGGAAAAAGGTGCCATTCTTCGTGATGCACAGAGGATCTTCCGAGACTTGTAGAAAGTGCATTTTCCCTAAGTGCCTCTTAAATCAGATATATCCAGTCTTGACTTTGCTCTTGAGGTTGGAGGGCTGCTAGGAGACTGGGGGCATTGCAGTATCGCAGGGGACAGGACCACAGCAGTTGTGAAGGGGATGGAGCAATTAGTGTGGCTGTTTAAAAACTTGGTCATTTTTGTTGTTTTTTGGTAGCATTGGGGTGTTTTGGTAGTGAAAATGTGTTTGAATTAACTTCGTAGCGAGGAGGAAAAATCGCTCTGCAAGATTTGCTGTTTATATCCTTGTTTTGAGAAAGCTTCCAATGATTTTACCAAAAGGTCTTTTAGAAAATCAGTGAGGGCGGAAGCAGTTAATCCTCTGACATGAAAATCAGAATCTCTTTCTTTTGGATAAAACATGGAGTCTGGTTCATGGAAGAACAGAGTCAGGACACAAGCCAAATATAATGTGTCCTTTGCAGCTGACCTTTAAAGCAACTGCTGGGTAAATTTATCTGGGATATTAGTTTGATAACGGATGAATGTAAGCAGGGACCACAGAGCATGGACGCAGGGCACTTTGGATATAGCAATTCAAAGCCCAGAATATGCTGCTCCGTGCTGCAGCCTGAGGTTTTGACTGCCAGTAGCAGCGCGAATGGCGCATTACAAAGATCAGTCTGGGCACCGCAGTGGGCTGGCTGAGGTCATTACAGGTTTTGACTTGAACTGCAGTAAAGTGGATCTGGTTTTGCAAATTACGTTCATCACTAATTCCCATAGGAATCAGTCTGGCCTCTGTCTGAACACTTGCAGGATCAGCATGTGCAGTGAAATGTAGCCGCAGGTCTGCAAGTTGAAAGCAGCTGGACTTTCTGTGTTTTAGTGAGTCCAAAGTACATTTGATCTGTTGGCAGTTGGACTCCTAACATCTTCCTACAGGGCAAACATTTGCCTTTGGGTTGTGCTTTGAACTCGGCTGCACAAAGAAGGCCATTCTGCTGATCTGAAACGAGCAATGGGGGTGTAAAATTCTCTGTTTTCAGACTGAAGGACTGTTTTTAGTTTAGAAAACCCACATTAAGGAAAAAAATGTTGCTTTAATCCTCTGTTGGTTGAGAACAGCTGAAATGGCAGAGCAGCAGCAGTGTTTAGGGGCCCTCAAGCTAAAAAACTCTTGGTAACACTGAAGTCAACCAGAGTAGTTACTTTAATGCAGCTTTATTTATTGAAAGCTTCCTGCCATGTTTTCAGAGCACGGCTGGTGAAGAATATCAACTCACAGAAGAACATTAATACATGCTAGAGTTGTACTGCTCATTAGTTAATCCTGCATCAGATGCTAATACCTGGTGGGGGGACTGTCCTTGTGCTAATTGCTTGTGGGTTACTAAATCCCAGCTAAACCCAGTTCCTCTCTGCAAAGTCCCACAAGGCACTGTCAGTTCCGCTGTAGCTTGATGTTGAAGGGGTGCTGCACCCAGCTCTGCCAAAGAGATGCTGGTTTCAGTGTCACACACACCTGGGATTGCATTGGCAACTTCGTTTGGGCTGCGTGGAGTTGCTAAGGGGTTCTCAGAATTACCTAAAGCTCCTTTTCAACTCCCTTCCCCTTCCCGGTGTGCAGTCCTAAGATGCTTCCAGTGGATAGCTCGGCGAGGACTGAGGTCTCCCACCCTCACCTTGAGCACTCCACCCTCACCCTTCCCCTTGGTTCAGGGCCTCACTGCCACCACTGTGGGGCTGTTGGCTGCCTCTAGCCCACGGTATTGCTGTGTTTTGGCCTTGCGCTCCCAAGGCTCCCTCATCCCTCCGCTACCGCGTCCTGGTTTGAGGACTCCACTCGCCCAGGCAGGCCACTGCAGCTCAGTGGAACCCAGGGTCTGGCTCGCAGCCCGAGCACCTTCTCCCTGTATTCCTGCATCCTCCTTCCCTCTCTTTTCTCCGTTTCTGGTAAACCGCAGGACTCTGTTTAAAAGGCCACTCCTGCGGCGCGGAGTGCTCGCGGTGTCCGTACAATGGGACAGATCAAAGGCCCGTTGCTCAGTGTCCCTGACAATAGCCAGCAGCAGTTGTGTCACGAAGGGCACAGGAGCAAGGCAAGCTCAGATCATCCCCTGGAGAGCTCTACCAGCCTCTCAGTACCACAGACACTACATTTTTCATCCTTATCATCTTGCCTCCAGGGGTCCAACTCTTAAAATCTGGAAGTAGCAGCCCCTGCAGAAGCAGTTTCATTTGTGCTTTAATTTTAGGGGGTGGGGGGGAGAGTGAATTCAAAAGAAAAGTAGCATTTTGTTATTTGTTTGTAATACGAGTTTGCGCTTCTACAGAAGAAAATTTGGAGTCACTGCCCAATGGAGACGTGGATTTTAGGGGTTCCCTTTAAAATGGAGCTGTCCCTACTAGCAGAAAATAAGGGTGAAACATGAGAGGGATGCTTTGCCTTCAGATTACATAACAGACACGAGGGGAGTCAGAGCTGTTCACCAAAACCAGCTTCTGCCAGGGTAGAGCAACACCGGAGGGCATGCTGACAGCTCCCTTCCTGTGTGGTCGGAACTGGGGGAAGGGAATGAATGCCAGTGGAGTGCTGGGATCAGCTGGAGATGCAGTGACAGGATTTAGGAGAGAGTCTGACAATCGTGAGTTAAAGGGAAGCCTGTATTTGACAGTGCCCCCCCCAAGCTGTTTGTTTGTGTTCACGGAAGAAATGTCACATCTGTAATAACTCAAATGAATATGCCTCGTGAAACAGAGCCGTTCCTGCAAGGGAGCATTCAATTAGCATGAGATGTTTGATTTGATTATGCCTCAATATACAAATCTTCTCTGAACCAGTGAAGCTACAGCTGGAGAAGACAATACATATTAAGTCATCCTCCGCTGGGTTCAGGACTGCTGCTCGCGCTACTTAGTGTTATATAACGTAATCCAAGGGCTGCTTGCATGTCTCCGGGGAGATTATTCCAAATGTTAGCAGATTTCCTGCTTAGAAAGGTTCTCCCTAATGTGAAATGCAGAATTAACTTTTACTTATTTAATCCTGTTGGTTCCATGGATCCTGTGCACCCACCACAGATTAAATAAAACCAAAAGTCCTTTCCTTCCCGGCTCTTCTGCCTCTGCGTGTTGGTAAACCAGCAGTGCTCCTTCAGTTGGTTTGTCTTGTCTCTTAAAGGCATGACATCATGGGAAACACTCCGAATCCTTTTTTCCTTTTACTTTCCAGCAATACTGTAGAGAGAGTGAAGTTGTGGATGGGTTTAAGGTAGCGCAGCCATACGCAGCTCTTAGTCTGTACCAATATTGCTGACATCTCATAAAGATCCTTTTGAGCAATGGAGGAACTGGACTTTTACAGAGAGAGAGATGGTCGAAAGGCAATACGGAAAGTATGATGGGTAACCAGAATGTGCTCTGCAGGGCTGTGCAGCAACAACCCCATAATGCTTTTCATATATAACCGTCGTTAATGAGAGAGGTGTAGGTATTAAAGTTCTCAAAATTCTTGCATGTAGAGCTCATATACAGAAGTACGACCTTCTGCTTGATTATACCCCATTTTAATGGTGCATACTTCTCTTTTCTCAAATATAATTCCAGGTGGTAAGCTTCGTCCAGCGTTTACCTGGTTGCAAAGAAGTAGCATCTGTTTTCAGAGAGGAGGTAAGTCAAGTCTACCCAAACTCTGTGTGGTTCCAATGGTGGGTCCAGGGGCAGCTGGGTGGTTTTGTACCCATCCGTTACTCTGGAGCTACAGCGTGGAGAGCACAGACGTGCTCGGGCTTGTCATTAAAGAGCCTGTGGCATTTAGGAGGCAGCTTCAGCATGGCGCTGAATCCCAGCACGGCTAATTGCATTCTGCTGCTTTAAATTTCCCCTGCACTTCCAATCACCGAGCTTATGCTTAACATCCTGTCTTGGACTATTGTATAGTGGATTTGGCATCCTTCTGAAGATGTCCTGTTGGAATGGTGCAGTGAGGATCTCATCTGCTCCCTCTAACGAGCACATACGCCTCTTCCCTTGGCAAGGCTGGCAGTTGTAGGGTTCCCCAGGAACTGCTGGCTTCCCCCGGCACTGCTGGCTTCCCCCGTGGGCTCTGGGAGAGCAGGAGGGGAACGTGTCAGTGGTTGGGAAATGAGAGCATCGCCTGCATGCCGCGTGCCCCGTTGTTGCTGCCACGCGCTGGGCTGGACCCTGTTCCCTGTTTGTGGCGTGTTTGCCATGGCTTCTGAGAAGCCTCAGCAGGTGCGGGACGCAGCGGTCCCGGTTTTTACATGCATCACGGACACAAGCTCCGTTGAGTGCTTTGCCTTCCAGCTACATTGCAGGTAGGACTTGGAGATTCCTTCGGAGCCCCTGCTTGATTTGCACAGACGTACCTCTCCTGTCATCACAGCTTTGCTGCTCAGACTGTGAGAGCTGGAGGGAAGGGGCTGTTCCTTCTCCGTTCTGTGCGGCACGGAGCGCACCCTCTGCGCTGAGGAAAAGCGCTGCACGTTGTAGCAACAGCAAAGGGCAGGTTTTTAATAGCTGACTGCTCCCCGGAGCTGGCTTCCTTTCAGGATGAATCAGGCTGTAGTGCATTTTATGGGATTTATGTATCTGTGGTTTGTTTTCCCTTGTTTTAAAAAACACACACATAAATAAAACGCAGAAGAAACGGAGGCTTGCAAAGAGCACTGTTCACGGTGTAACAGAACAGCGGGCTGCTGTTTAATTGAATATGGTGGGAATAATGCAATTTAGTCGCGTGAACCGATCTTTCAGTGTAGCTGAGTGTAAAAGGTGCCTCCTGATTTCTAGCAGAGATGTATTCAGAGGTGAGAGCCGTAATTTAAACGGGTCCCGAACGCGGTGACTGCTTTCTGGTTCAGAGAGCAGATAGCTGTGCTCTATTTCAACGCTTCCTGCAGCCTCAAAGTACGATTCCCTATGCCAAGTGAGAGGGTCTTGGGTTGTTTTTCAGGTTTATGCTCAAACTAAATTGTCAGTTTGAAATTAAAACCCTTTTAGCAGTTTGGCTTTGGCCAGAATTCAGGTGTGAGTGATGGGACTGCTGAACTCTGCCCGCGTTGTCTATTGGCCGTTAATCAGGCCTTTGAGTGCTCTCCGTTTAGGATAAATCAATCCCTTGCAGACTTGTCTTGGCGGGGGAGGAGAGGGATAAGTTGCTGCTTACATTAAGAGCGACGAGAACAAATTGTGCACAGAATTTTAAAACCCGTCCAAATAAGATGGAACAAAGAAATTAATAATAAAGCACAGGCACTGATACTGTGCTTGTTTCTAGGTCCAATTCAGGGAAGGTCTGTTTAAAATAAGCATCTTTGAGGCAATGCGGTGAAAATGAAACATAGTAATAATACTAGGCTCAAAAGCATTTTGAAGCATAGGACTGGTTTCCATCAGTTTTCTGCTACTCGTGACTCTATATTACTTAATTTAAGCAGGAGTCCAAGCTATTTGCCAGTTTCAAGCTATTTTTAACACCTTCATTGCAGTAGTGTAGACCCCTGGGTGGTTGGCAAATGAGATTCGGGATGTTGTGTGGCCGTCTGTGAGCTGGGAGCACTGCTGTCATTTCCAGTGTACATACTGGGAGGCTAAGTAACTTGCTAGCGATCTCTTGTGTGGTTAGAGAAGGGGAAACCCAATCTCCTGGCTCCCAGCTCTTTGCTTTGATTATAGGTTTGTCCAAGTTTATTCAATGTATCCTCTCCCACCAGTCACTGACATCCTAAAATGTTCTAGTTAGGAAGACTGCAGAAATAGAAGAATTGTTATTCTGGATGAGTTGTATCCGGTATTGTCTGCTGCACTGGTGAACATCAAGAGAGAGGATGGGATGCTGTCAGTCCCTGTAAATGGACTTTAATGGAGTAACTTAGGGAGACACATATTGTTTGTCTGTGTCCATTAATCTTTGGTTTCTTCCCTGCAGCATTTGGGGTTTATATTAGTTGTAGCTGTCTTGTCTCTGTGGTTGTTCTTGTAAAACCAAGTAAATTTTTAACCTCTTCTTAAAATAGTATGTTATGATTTCACTCGCAGCTACCTAGAGCATCCCATGTTTTCGCAAGGCGGTATGCTTTTCATTTGCTTGCTTTGAATCTAATTGAGTATCTCCTTGCTGATGAATTAGGAGAGTGTGTATGTAAATCCAGACAGGTTACATGTCTTGACTGTGCCTTGTTTTATGTAGCAGGTGATCTCTTCTACCGTGTGCTAAGCGAGCCCGTTTAGTGTCACTGAAAACACTCTCACAATAGCCCTGTTTCTCCTTTAAACGGAGACTTGTTGTCTATGGACATAGTACGTCCCAGTTGTGAGAGTAGCCAGATGTTCACATCTCAGGAATTTCTCTCCTCTGTAAGGTTTTTAGCAGATCTGACAAAAAAAAAAAAAAAACACCCAGGAAAAAAGGTTGTTTGGCTTTAAATTTTACCCTGAGCAGTTTAGCCGGAGTTGAAGAGTCTGTGCAATGACAGTATGTAATGAATGCACTAGGAAGTGGTGATTTTATGTTTCTAGTCATTGTAGATCCGTGTAATATATTAATTCTTGGATAGCTGCCTTCAGAAGACTTACATTCTCGATTTCCTGATCTAATTTCTGGCCACAGATTGTGACTAGGCCATAGGATTTTTGACAGTTGCTGGCTTTTTAGAGCAATTACAGTGCATTTAAAGTCTAACGAACCAGCATCCTCCTCATGATCTCCATAAGCCTTGACCACCCTCAGGATTCTCTGTTTCTAGAAAAACGGCTGCTGGGTGAGGCCTGAGCCCCTTGGAAGGGGCAGCGTGCCTGGGAGCCTCGCAGGGGTTGGGGTGCCAAAACTAGGGAGAAACACAAAGTTTCGGTCTTCAGAGCTGTGTTGGTACTTTCATTCCTCAGTTCTAAGTACATTGTTCAATTGAACAACCAGAAGTGAGAATCCTGCCTATTTCTTGATGTAATCTTTATCTTATGTTGTGTTTCCAACCTTTAGCAGATAGATGGTGAGGCTTTCCTGCTCCTGAACCAGAACGACATGACTAAAATACTCAATATCAAGCTGGGTCCTGCCCTGAAGATCTACAACGCCATTCTCATGTTCCACTCTGCAGAAGACAACTGAGAAGCGTCCTTCAGCAGAGCCCAGGAGGAATTGTCAGGGAAGAGGTTTTCAGCATTACATTGTGCCAAATGGGCATGTTTGGACTTAGATGTGTTTTAAGTAGAATTTATTAAAATTATTTTGAGGACATAAAAATCCTGCCACAGTCTGGATTATGGGGCAACTTCACTTCCAAGAAGAGGATATTATTATATTTTGTAATAGAATTTGGTTTTGATACATCAATCTCTTTTTGAGATCTAGAAGAAACCTCCGGTTATAAGGGGAATCCAGGGTAACTTTGGTGGAGCTGCAATAGCAAGAAGAAAGCTCTGAGCAAAATGTCTGTTGTGTCCAATGATAGTGCCTGAAAGAGACTGAGTTATCACCAGCGTGTTTAATATATTCTGTACGTATCAGAACTCTGAAAACAGAGTAAGAAAATAGGAAAAAGATGTGCTTCAGAGCAACTCACCTGTAACCTTCAGTGCTGTGACTCCAGAGCTGACCTTGTCAGGACTGACTTTTAAATTCCGGTTTCTCCTACTGATCCTAGTTGTTCTAATACCTTTGGCTGCCTACACCACAGCAGAAAGGTACCGTGGGCAGAGGGTTTCCACCAGCAATGGCTTGTATCGACAAGCAGCATGTTCTCCTTCTTGTCACCGGAGAGCGGGAAGCAAGCCCTGTGTAGGCCTTGGGTAGGCAAAGATCTCTCACAAAGACATCTCCTCCACAGGAGACACAGGTAAATACTCACTAATTCTCTCGTCAGTGCTTTTGTGCAGCTGATGTCTGGACCAGGAGCATCTTACAGCAGAACGGCACAGTCAGCAGCACTTGGGAATTCGGTGGGTTCATCCTTGTCAGCCAAATGCTGGGAATAGGAGTTGGGAACCCGGCAGTGGCCAGCGTGTGCGTACAGATGCAAGCACGTTTCCTAGGAACAATTTGGTTTTATTTTGAACAATCAAAACTCATGACTGCGTCGAGCTTTTGCCTTTTCAGCCTCCTGGTGGGCTTTGGTCTGTTCTGTGGAAGAGTCAGTGTGCTGTAGCAGCAGGACACCAGCTCCTCTGCCTCTCCATGGTGAGGCAGGCTGAGCACACAGGGAATTGGACTGTCAGGGCTGGAACAGACAGCCGAGCGAGGTAAGAGTGACTTCTCAAAAGAGCCCTGATGTGCGTCAGGGAGGAAGCAAAGCTTGTGGCTGTGAGCCTGTGCATGCAGTCTGTTCTCTCCTGGCAGTAGGGCAGCACGAGTATTGCCTGCTCTGCTCAGAGTCCGAGCATCGTTTCATGAATGTGCACGTGGGACTGCAATGTCCTGGGTGAGGAATTTCCACACCGCTACTTCCAGAACCATCCTGTTAGGATGGAGGCCCTGGGGGAAGCGCTGAGCCCTGCTGGGGCTCTGCTCAGTGCTTCCTCTCGTGCCTGTTAGCATGCTAGCTCCTAACTCTTCCTCTGGCCACTCTCCCTGTTAGATAGTTGGCTGTTTCAGAGTTTAGCTGGAACTGTCTTAGCTAGGGAACCCTTTCCACCGCGTCATTTGAAGCTGCCAGGCTGCATCCTGTGTGCGAGAGCCGCTCCAAGCTCTGTAAGTGTGCACACGGTGCTGCCGGAGGCAGGCGTGCCGTCAGCCTCTGCCCGGGGATGCATGTGCTTCTCAGGGCATTGCATGCTGAGATGTGATCCATCCGTAGGCACCTCAAACTCCCTCCTGGGCTTGGCATTTGTCACCTGTGGTGTTGCCTTAGTCCCAGCCCTGCAGCTTCTCCGGGAACCATTGGGAAGTGAGAATGAACACGCCGTCTGTGACTGTGGTGGCACAAGGAACGCTCTGGGTCTTCCTCTCCAATCACTCCATGGCCTTTGGCCAACCTTCCAGCTGCTAAGAAGGTCCTTGTGACTTGCCTGAAGTAGTAAGTTCCTTAAAATTGTACATAGAGTAGAATCAACGCGGCTGAAGCTGTTCAGTCCTGGATTAATATATAGAACAATTTGTCTCCATACTTTCTATTTTTATATAAGATGTTAAGGAGTTTAAGCCTTCCACAGAGAAGACAGAGGGGTGGTGGGATATTTAATAGCTGAAACATAAAATATCAGCCAGGCAACTGCAGGAGAGTGATTTAATGCAGTGTTAAGGACTAGACAAATATGAATTTAATGTATAAAAATACATTTTTAGTATAACCAGGGTATTCACCAAAGAGTCACGTTCCTTTATCCCGCTCTGCGCATCCTGTGTCACTTGCAATTCCAGTCTTCACACTGACTTGTTCTGGACTCCGACACAACTCGCCTTCTAGGCAAAGCAAAATTGTTTCCTGACAACTGGAGCAGAGGATCCGTAGTTGGACTGTTTGGTTCCTGGCTCTCCACTGACTTGCTAAGGAAGCCTGAGCCCTTCTTTGCTCCCGATTCACCCTCTGTGACACCCAGCCAGGAGGGGTGAGTGCAGTTTTGCCTTGTTTCCAGCAAGCAGGTCCTGACGGATTTTCCGTTTTACCTCCTTCCTTTGGGAAACTGAGCTGGGGGACAGCAGATTGCCTCCAGCAATAAACCAAAATGCAGTATGATTTATTTCTTTTACTATATATAGAGAGAGGATGAAGAGAATCAGTGAAGCAATGAGATTCTAGTCACTGAAATTATTCAAACAGGAATCTTTAATCCTGGGGTCTTCCAAGCCAGCTGGATCAAAGACGACAATGTGTGCTTGGAGTGTGTTCAGTGGGAGAGTAGTGCTTTCAGCAAGAAGGAAGGAGGAACCCTTTTAGGGGATAGAAGAGGGAGGAATGTGCTTCTTGTGCCTTTTTTTGTAATCCGATAATTGTCTTTGCAGCGCAAGCAAGAATGTGCACACATCTATTACTGCCTCCTCTTCCAAATATAGCTGTAGTCTAATAAAATCAAGCAACTTCACAATAACACCAGGGCAAAAAGATTTCTCGTGTCTTCACTGGACACGGCTAAAACTCACTAGTATTCACAAGACAGAAAAAATCCTAGAACACCTCCCCTTTTACCCCATAACTCGGGAACTCATTGCTTGCTGATGCCGTTTTGCTTGTGTTGGGGAGCCCCGCTTCCACGTGCAGCTCAGTGACTTGTTTCTGCTGCCAGACTCTGCCTGTACAAACTCAGCTCTGCCTTTTCCCGGTCCTGGTGTCGAGGCGAGGGGTCTGCAGATGCCTCTGATTGTCTCATGCCTTGTCTAACTTGAAACATGCACTTTTGAAGCAGAAAGCCAAATGTTGTAGCTCTGGTGAGTGAAGCTGAAACTGGTTAATGCCACCTGGTTCAGGCAGTTTCCCATGTCTCCCACGTGTCGGCAGAAACCGGGGGTCGGCCCAGCTGAACCCAGAAGTCACTTAGAAATACTGCTCAGCACCGACTCGGAGCTGTGACAGCTTCCCATGGGCCAGCAGTCCAACTGGGACATCTCGGTTCTCTATTTGAATGGATCTTACTCCTGGATGGGGTTTTGTTCCTGTATCCCTGGGTTTGAAATCCAGAACCATCACATTATTCTCCTCAGTAGAGAGCCCTGTTAAAATTTTCTGCGCCGTCACCAACGATCATCCTTGTAATCCGGTAGCAGCAAATTTCTGCCCTGGGTGATGAATCGCATTGAAGTTGGGCGGAAGTGTCGGGCAGCGCTGACGGCAAAACTCTACAACCGGAGTTAAAAAACCCCATTCAGCCCAGGGGATAAGCTAGCTCAGCTGTAGAAGATTTCCTGCCTGCTACTTTTCTGCCCTGCTTAGGGATTTATACCAGGGAGAGCTTTAAACTTTCTGACATCCTCTCTGTCATGTGATGAGCTAGCTTATTTTTGAAATTCCGCTTACTTGAACTGGAAACGCGTGCAGGGGAAGGGGGTGTGCGGCCCTTGTCTCCGTCCAGCCTCTGAAACTTTTGCTTCTTAACCCAAACACACACTTGAGCTTTCTGACACTAGCCGTGATGTTGCACTCCACCGATGCTTTCTTCTGGAAATGTGAATAAAATTAATATAAGCTCTAAGCTCGAACCTGACTCAGTCTTTCAGTGTTTGGGGGTGACCCTGGCACGTGCTGGCTCGCTGCCCTGAAGGGCTGTCACCAGGGTGGGCAGGATGTCCCTGGCTTTGTCCCCTTGTTTTCCTCCCCCTAAACCTGCCAGTCAAAGTGCAGGCAGCGTTTTCGTCTTTCCTCTCTTGCTCAGACGGAGCCAAGCTGGAGATTTGAGCTCTCCCGGAGTTGTCTGCATCAGCCTGGACCGCAGCCCTTGCTGTCCTCTGCTGCTGACCATGGGTCTGAATCTCTCGTGCTTTCCTCTTGCCATCCCAGGACTCTGCCATCATCCTAAAGCAGCTTCCAAATCTAACTAAAACCATCAAGAACTTGTTACCGGTGCGAATCGATGTTAAAATCTGCATGTTGGGGTCTGTCTCTCCTACCTTCCTTAATGCCCTATTGGCCTTCTTGGCTGTGTCCCCATAGCAGTGTTAATTAACTTAACCGGGCGTTCGTTTCGGCTCTTGATTGTAATGAGCTGATAACGTGCAAAGTGCTGTGCAGTGTGCCATCGCTTGGTGTTCCCCAGAATGGGTGGTGGGAGCTATCGCCCCGGTCTGCACGGAGGGGTGTCCGGGAGAGCCGAGGGGCTGAAGCCGCGCTCGCGCGTGGCCAAACCAAGGGCCAGAGATTCGCTCTGGCTGCTGAGATTATCAGACCTTCCAAAGCTAAAAACACTAGAGGGTTGGCACCCAGCCATAATTTCTAAACCATCCCATCATCAGGGTAAACATTTGCTCTCATTGGTTTTTCCCTTCCAAGTTTTTTTTTTTGCTTCTATTTAAACCCCGACCTGTTTGGTTGCCGTGGCCGGATTCCCAGCCTGGTCAGCTCGGGCGCTCCTTGCATGCTCAGCAGGGTCAGATTTTGCTGTTGCTTGCTCCGTTAGTTCCTTGGGAGTTCTGCTGGGGCGCGTGCTTCTCTGTGCCACGGCACTTTGGTACCTGAATGTCTC